AATGGCCCTTGTAGACAGTCGCGTGTATTATCCACCTGACGGTGAGTGTTTAGTAACCACTGGTTACCGTCGCCCATGGACGTTAGCAATGCGAGGGGCAGAGCCAACCTACTGTAAAGTGCTTCAATACAGAAAAGTTAAAGGGCAGTTGCTAATACTCAGATACTTTGTCCTCAAAGATGACAGATAGATATATCTCTCTCTCTTATCAATCGGTCCCTCATTGCGGAGGATCGTGACTCCGTCCGATTGCGACAACTAGTTGTCTCCATCGATCCCGTTCTGTAGCTTGGTAGAGTGCGTCATTGACAGGTATTTTAGATATATATACACATATAAATAGATACATTTAAGTTCTTGGTATCTATGAGCCCCGGAAACTTAACAATAGGCGAGCCATAAGTTCGACAAATAATCGAAGCAATAAATAAATAAAAAAATCATTGCAACAAAAGCATTGCTTTAACCGGTTTTTGTAACATGAATATTTTATCTAATTAACAATAACGCTGTACTAATAATCACCACACTTTTCCACGGAAACCATGCTAACAATACATATTAATGCATTTATTCTAATCATGTAGTTTAGATATAGGGGAAATCGTCATTTACTGGTGGTAGGACCTCTTGTGAGTCCGCGCGGATAGGTACCACCACCTTGCCTATTTCTGCCGTGAAGCAGTAATGTGTTTCGGTTTGAAGGGTGGGGCAGCCGTTGTAACTATACTTGAGACCTTAGAACTTATATCTTAAGGTGGGTGGCGCATTACGTCGTAGATGTCTATGGGCTCCAGTAACCACTTAACACCAGGTGGGCTGTGAGACCATCTAAGCAATAAAAAAAAGCTAACATACCTAAACAGCACCACATACAGCAATCTACATTAATTGTTATTACGTGACATTAACAAGAGACAATAAACAGTCTAAATGACACAACTCCGAACTTGGTAACTAGACACTAATCCCAGATTTCTAGATAAGTGCTCGGAAGTCTGACCTCAATATCTTTTCCGTCTAGACTTCTAATGTAAATTATGATAATGTTAAATACATAATTTTTTTGAGACCATAGGCAACACCAACGTTGCCACCCTCGTAGAGATATGGGGCGGAACTCTCAACTGTCTGGTATAGTGGCCATTTCATGATTTCGCTTGACTGCTTGGCGGTTGAAAGGGGAAAATCTTTAGTTCCTACTTGGGCAACTCAAAATACACCATACCACCAGTCTTTATTCATATTTATAGATTACTCTAAATTTTTTATAACAAACATTTTAAATAATATATATGATCATAGGTAGCAGGTTTCAAAAGTACATGGACAGTAAAGGTTTTACTGGTGGTGGGGGGCCCTCTCGTGAGTCCGCACGGGTAGGTACCACGACCCCGCCTATTTCTGCCGTGAAGCAGTAATGCGTTTCGGTTTGAAGGGTAGGGGTAGCCGTTGTAACATACTGAGACCTTAAAACTTATGTCTCAAGGTGGGTGGCGCATTTACGTTGTGGATGTCTATGGGCTCCAGTAACCACTTAGCACCAGGTGGCATGTGAACTCGTGCACCCATCTGAGCAAAAAAAGAAGGAAAAAAATCTATTGAAACAAGAACTAATGACATCTGCTATTAATACTGTAGTATTAATTAGTTTTCGTAATATTTTATTTAAATTATTTAAGATATCTGTAAAAGATATAAAGATCGGTTAAAAAACAAATAATAAAATATCATTATTTAAAATAAAACGGTCCTTAGGTTAAAAAAAAAATTAGCAGATTAGATTAATTATCACTACGCTTGTCTATTACATACTACTAACGCCATCTAGTTTAATATTATTATTTGAAATCCAAGCATTCACGGGACTATATGAGATTCATATTAGCATATACTGACAGATAAAGCTGCTTGCGTGTTTTTTTTATTGCATTCATGGATGGACGAGCCTACAGCCCGCCTGGTGTTAAGTGGTTACCGGAGCCCATAGACATCTACAACGTAAATGCCGTCACCCACATTGAGATATCAGTTCTAAGATACAGTACAACGGCTGCCCAACCCTTTAAGCCGAAACGCATTATTACCTCACGGCAGATAATAGGCAAAGATTGACATAGATTTGACCATTAGCAACTAATACTGGACTGGCACTGTGATGGAAAATTCATAAACGTCAAACAGAGTAAGACATCTGGTGTAGTTTTATAAAGCCAGGTGCTATAAAGTATCATTATACTTGTATAGAATTCCAGAAAGAAGAGCGAATTGAAAAAACATTGTTCAAGAACGACTTTTCATGATGATAGAATAATATCTAAACTAATAAATAAATCTACAGTGGTTTTTACGGATGTTCCGTTATAACTACTGAACCATGCATCCGATTGACTTGGAACTTGGCATCCATATAGAAAATACATGTACTAAATTGATAGGTTAATATTTATATGAGTGTTGGACTCTCTACACCAGTTGCGGTGGCCTTAATGATGAGAGTCTTTGTGGGGGTGAGAAATAATGATGTTAATTTTAAATGCCCAGCGAAGCGGACGGGTATAGCTAATCGTATAATAAAAATGAAACCGTGGCGGTAGCCATCACAGAACGCAAAATATTTGACAGATGCGTGAACCTCGCTTACATTTTCAAAATAAGCTTGCTTAAATACAAGTTCCGAACAACAAGATTAGGACCGCTGGTCTACCGAGCAATATCACCCGCTGGGTGGAAGATCTTCCTTTCCCTAGTTAAACCTACAAAACTAAAATTAACTCGCCGATGATAGGTAAGTACCGCAATCCCGCTCATTGCCACCACGAAGCATATGTGTTCCGGATTCAAATAGCCAATCTGTACAATTAAGATTTTAATCATACGTCTCGGTACATTCGTCACGCCTGTAGACTTCCAGTAACGACTTAACAGTAGGTGAACCTCGAGCATTTTTACCGATCGACGGAAAAAAATCTTCAATCGGCTTTTTAGAAATTGTCATAAATATAGTAAATTTGTTCATTGCTCAGTTTAATAGGCAGTTCTGAATTATTATTCATCTGTACTAATATATAAATCTACAGTGGTTTTTACGGATGTTCCGTTATAACTACTGAGCCATGCATCCGGTTGACTTGAAACTTGGTATCCATGTAGGAAATACATGTACTTAATGGATAGGCTAAATGGATACAACCTATAATAATATGCCTTACATAGGAGTCATGCTTTCACCGTCTCCGCTCTGCAAACGACCAATAAGTATCCTTCAGACCAGAACCCATGCTACTTCATGGCCAAAATAGGTATAATAGCGGAATCTCCTAATGTCTGTTCGCAATACGCCCTAACCAGAAAAGTCTTAAATTTATTAGCTGCTACACTTGAAATTTGTCATAGACAATTCTAATATAAAGTTATTTCAGACATATTCATTATAAACTACTAAAGTATTAAATATAATCTTTAACCTAACCCAGTTTCGGCTAGAACTGATCATTAAAATTAATGTACCAGACTAATCAAAGCTAAAATGGCTAACATCGTCTGTCCAATAAGCGAATGTCGATGCCGTTAAAAAATATCAACTAACATATTTTGTCTCGGTGGCGCCCTAAATAAGAAATGGGACCATGTGAAAATCACGTGCCGATTTCTACACGACGGCGGTGATGCGAGACGTCCAGATAGTCTGGTTTTATAGGCTAGTCGCTGGAGGCAGGTCATCCTATAGAACTAGGGGGGAGGGGGGCTGACGCCAAACGCAAATGATACGCGACGCGCGCCGCATCGATCGCCCATGTGCCCGAAGCCAGCCCGCAACACACCCCACCCCCACCCCATAGCGCCCCCCATCTAGACACAAACACCCGCGCGCGTAGACGCACAGACACGCACACACAGCGGGACCATCTAATGTGCGTTGCCAAATGATCCGAGTAGAATAATAAGTCATCTATGTATGCCCTCGGAAATGGATAGTCATCGTAATTGGAATGTAATTGTTGTTTCGGATGTGTTATTAGCAATTAGATTTCTATCACCGTGTATTCTTAACTTATTCGACACGTGTTTTCAAAATAGCCAACGTTTCATTTGGATCTTTTGGCATGTTTAATTTTTAATGGAATTGGATAATATCCAGTCCTAATATCAATTCCTTTTTATGATTACAAGATAATTGATACACTAAAATCGTTAAATATACCCTAAGATACATAATTAGAAAAACGATACCAATTACATGGAATTATAACTTTCACGAAGCTATGTTAAGCTTTTCTATTAGTGAAAGCGTTCGTTTCGACCCCAACAGGGGGCGAGTTAATTGAGCTAAAAGCCACGTGGAAGCAATTATTTACAATCAGGTGAACCACGTGTTTGACTTTCGTTATCATAATAATATGTAGCGACTTATATAACTTTTTGAACTCTACATGCTGAAATTGAATGTTTGTCGTCGTCTTGGTGATATACAAACTACATAAATATATTAAGTCACTACATTAGCATTTATGAAATTAAAAAAAGGAGAGGCAAAGATTACGAATTTGTCGAGATTCGGGTATAATGTCTCAATTGTGAAAGATACATTCAAATTTGTACTCTAACGCTACCGCTTTAAAGCTATGCTACTTTGAAGATCGTCGGATGATGTAAATATGGAATATATGGATTAAATTTATCGAAAATATAACGCAAAATGATAAAACGCAAGCTGATCTGACTCGCAACATCCCAAAGTTTAAACAAACATAAAAATCATCTATGGCAGCCAAATCGCATGCGTTTAAGACATGTGGCATAAATTTCAAGGCATGAGATCGAAAAAAATATCAAAATTATGACTTAAGAAGGATTTATAACTAAGACAACAGAACGATTAGTTAATTGTTTAAAAGTAAATGCAAAAAAACAAAACTAAATCGAGCGGTCCAGCGTCGATACTCCAAATCTAGGGCACGTGATATACAGACACGCTGCCGCAAAAAAAATCAACTCACATTAGCCACAAACGGTACGATCCAAGAAAAGTCTTATCCTAGTTCGGTTTGGAAATTAAAAAAAAAAACACAGTCAAATAGAACAGGTTCTTCTGTAAGGCACCGATGATCGCGTGCGGTGCGTCCGCGAAGCACTCATTTGGTAATCTCTATACAGTCATGGCACTCGCGTCCGTGGCGGCGGTTGGGACTCTACTGAGGCGCCGGACTGCCTCGCCCCGCCGCCCGCCCCGTCCCCCGCTGCATCCTTCAAACGCTCCCTGATAATCGGGAGAAAATACTACGCGCTGCAATCGGAACGCCGCATAGTCCTATTTTTTGGCCACGAGTCAGGCTATAATTGCATCAGCCTTCATTGGCCGCTTCTTCGCCTCCGCCTATGAATATGAGGCCATATCAATGAACATTGGATGCAATCAATCCACATGTTTCTGTTGCAGGCTGTTTAAGGTCTGTTTTTTCTGTTTTTCCGTGTCGTTGTTTCCGTGACGGAAACACAGAAATTTTAGAAGAAGTTCATGAATACAGATGTTTCATTAGCCAGATGGCCATGTATTCTCGTTAAATTATGAGCGGTGGAGACGAGATGAAAAAATCAAGTTTTCCCATTACGGGCCAACGTCACGCGTCTAATAAATTAAATCAGAGATTTTATCGGAGCCGTTGTCTTCCAAAATAAAATTATGCGTGACAAAACTTACGCTCGAAGTAAAATAAATAGGTTCGTCATCTTGATACTGAGACTATTATAGTCTGATTTCTATAATTGCCGGTCATAAATTGTCTTGTACAAAACTCCTCAGACGTTTTAATATGAAAATCACTTACGACGTCTCGGTATGAAAAAAAAACTCCTCTGATTATTCGTAGCAATTTGTCGTAGGCGGGCGCTACGAGAATCCGTAGTGTACAGCTACGAGCTATTTATGGTAATAATTCTCGGAGCTGTGATATTATAAATCTTTGAAGCCTTTAAAATCTGGGGCCATAAATAAAAGTAACTGCATAGTGCCTATTATTGTGGGAGAGTATGGTTCTCGGTGGCGTTGTCCGCTTGGCTGCCACGGCTGTCGCAGTGCCCTGTTTTCTGATATGAATAGAGGGATTTTTGGATTTAATGGTCGATTATTTAGTGCATTGTAAGAAGGGTTGTTTTAAATTTAAAATATATGAATTGGAGTTTCTACATTCGGGACCGTGCTAGGTATATCTACGGTGAAGGAGCCATGGGCTCTAATGTGAATGGTCCCTGTCATTCTAGGGACCTTGCTGGTATATCTACGGTGAAGTAGCCATGGGTTCTAATGTGCATGGTCCCTGTTGTTCTAGGGGCTTTGCTGGGTATATCTAGTAGCCATAGGTTCTAATGTAATAGGTTCTAATGTAAATGGTCCCCCCTGTCATTCTAGGGACCTTGTTGGGTATATCGAGTAGCTATAGGTTCTAATGTAAATGGTCCCTGTCATTCTAGGGATGGATTTTTTTTAACAGCCATAGGTTCTTATGTAAATGGTTCCTGTGCTTCCAGAATAAATGTAAATCCTAGATACTTCACATTGAAGCGGCAGCAGTGCTTTCTGATGGATTTTGTTCATCAATAGGTATCCGGTGCAATTTAAATAGGACGTAAACTCTAACTGTCTAAGGTTTTTTTTACAATTTTGTGACTTTATTTAAATCGAGCTATGAGGTGGGAATGTTTTTGTCATGAAGGTCAAGTCCCATTTATCTTCTGTTCTTTGGTCGAAGTGTCATTAGTATTTTTTAGTTCTCAGATGGACGGACGAGCTTGTAGTAGCAGTAATAGAAAGTAGTATAACGGTTGTCCGACTCTTCAAACAGAAACGCATGACTGCTTCACGGCAGATATTGACGCTGTGTGCGTAATTACACACAAGCTTTCAATTTGTTGCTGTAGTCTTAGGGCACTCCGCTGGTGCGTACGGCCCTCACAAGCTGTCTCCAATGCGCAACTTTAACAAGTTTTTTGCGACATAGCAGTGATGCGTTTTAAAGTTAAGGCATTAGGTAGGACCTGGTAGGTCCTCTCGTGAGTCCGCGCGGGTAGTTACCACCACTCTGCCTATTTCTGCCGTGAAGCAGTAATGCGTTTCGGTCTGAAAGGTGGGGCAGCCGTTGTAACTATACTTGAGACCTTAGAACTTATATCTCAAGGTGGGTGACGCATTTCTAGATGTCTATGGGCTCCAGTAACCACTTAGCACCAGGTGGGCTGTGAGCTCGTCCACCCACCTAAGCAATGAAAAAAATGACTTCTACGATGAGGAATAATGTTGTGTAAAAAATTCAAACGTAGTGCTTAAATTTTAATCTTAATACGGGAAGGCTATTATTACGAGCGGCCAAGTCATGATGCTGTAATAGCGCCTGTAGCAGTATATTCATTTGCTTTATATTATTGTAGGCAGCGGCTTGGCTCTGCCCCTGCTGAAGTCCATGGGCGACTGTAACCACTCAACATCAGGCGGGCCGTCTGCTTATAAGGGTAATAAAAAAAACTTCTGCAGCAAAGAAGATAGTCTTGGGGGTTTCAAGGGTGTATATGTAATATGAAATGAACAATTGGAAACTTAGATCGCATTCCTAATGTGGATGGTAACACTCTACACTACCATGTACGTAGGCTTCCAAAATAGTTCAAGAAAATTCAAAGAAAATTCGCGTCGCAGACTGTCTGGGGTCTAGTGACCGATTAGCATCAAGTGAGTCGTTCTGTCGATCCATGTAAGATCAACACGAGACGAGATTTCTGTGTGACCTTGACACCCCCTCCCCTCGAATAGGGGTGAAGTATATTTTAACCCTAAATTAAGTGGTAAAATTTCCTCCGGGCGAAAGCCGCCGCTAAGTCTCGACAGAGCTTATACGACATTGAAAGACCCTAAGTACAGGACCGTGCCACGGAATTTTACTGCTGAAAAGGTCTGGCATAAAGATGAAATTCGTCTGAATTGGTTGACTGAAAGCAAGGCATAGAAAAACGCTCACAATTTTTTTTCTGATAAGGATGATATTTGCTTGTGTCATCAACGACAGGGGTGTGTGATGGGCTCGATCAAAGCGTCCTCTAAGAAAACGGAGACAATACGATTATAACATTGTATTATACATGAAAAAGAATAATCATTTAACATTTAACATTTTAACTGATTATAGTAATAATTACTGGAAGACTAATCGTGTGCTCACGCTACTAAAATGGTTTCTGTAATTAACTAACTGACCCGGGAGACTTCGTAGTGTACCAATCGCTAAATAAAAGACCTAAACTTTTGTACAAAATAAACTTAAAACAAACAAGACGAATCCGTCCGATGGGGGACACATCAAAGGATAAACAAAATAGTTATTTTTATTCAATTCCGAGCATTTTCATATTTATCTACCTTTTAAGCCTTCTCTGGACTTCCACAAATAATCAAGACCAAAATTAGCCAAATCGGTGCAGCCGTTCTCGAGTTTTAGCAAGACTAACGAACAGCAATTCATTTTTATATATATATAGATAATGCTTTAAATTACCAGATATGTACTTCAGACCCGCAAGGAGAAAGCTTGTTTTTTTTAAAAGCTCTGTCTGCGATTCCCTAGGTATGGTATCAATCATCACTCAAGTATTGTATCGTATTCTTAACGAAACCAGAATTGTATTCAGTTTTTTTTTTATGGCCTTTGTAGGCAGACGAGAATACGGCCCACCTGATGGTAAGTGGTCACCGTCGCTCATGGACGTCAGCAATGCCAGGGGCAGAGCCAAGCCGCTGCCTATCAATTTTTTTTTTGATAGTAGATCAAAATCCATTTTTGAAGTTATACTTCTTTAGGCGCGTTATGAAAAATTGATGAGAGTGAAATTTTACGATGCGTGCGCACCGTAACACAAAATTAACAGAATGAAGTTGCCCACTAAATCGCTCATTACAATACGACCGACGTAACTTGGCGAGTCTGAATATAGCCGCAGGTGAACTTTTGCGCATGTACACTCGTAAAAAAAAGTGTTATTAGCATTCATTTTTTAGTAATATAAATGACAAAATTATTATTTAATATAATTCATACTAAATATTCTTAAATTATAAACGTTAAATATTTACTATTAATTATTTAATATTAAAAAAAAAAGAAATAAATTTAATAAAAATAAAGTATAGCTTCTTACGCGCGTATATAAATAAGTACACGCACCCTTTTTTTATCTCTGATCACCCAGTCTTGGAATGAAACCACCCCTACCATATGCTTTCCGAGCTTTTTGACAATTTCTTCTTTAAACTTGGCTTGAGGAAAGGCTCAACTAATAAATAGACAGAGGCTCGGCTCTGTCTCTCGTGTTGCCGATGATCATTAGTATCAGCAAGGTGCGATTTGACTAAATTATATTATTGAATCACACACGTGAGAGAGAAATTATTTTCGTTAATAAGTAGGCTGTTCGGATAAGGCAAAGATTAATCTGAACGAGTTTTGTAGATGGATAGATCGATGGTCCTAGCCTTATAGGTCTGTGTCATTTCAAGGATTGACCAAGGCGTATGTTTGGAATGTGACTTCTTCGTATAGACAGAAGCTTGACTGTGATTCTTCGTATAGTCTATGGTAACCAAAAGTTGGAGGGGATATTTGTCGAGTTTCAAAGCCAATAGAGAAAAACAAATAGATATTCACGGAAGACTTCTAAGATGAAGCAATACCCATCCTTGCGTCGATAATCCTCAATGTTGAAGGTCGTTGCCTCTTCTATTAAATTTCTCCTGGATTATCCTGCGCCACTCCTGCCTATCCTCTGCTGTGTGGATGAACATGAAGCAATACCATTGTAAATGAATTGGTGCAAATATAAATTCGCCATTTTTAATTGGGAGCTGGAATTTTGAAGTCGTCGTGGCACAAAAGAATAAAACGCCCAGTACATTCGTAACTGACAATGCGACGGTGTTCATATCCCGCAGGCAGGTAGCAATTTTTCTAATGTAATACTAACTTGACAAATGTTCACGAATGACTTCTGCGATAAAGGAATAACATCGTGTAATAAAAATCAAACCCGCAAAATTATAATTTGCGTAATAACTGCCGGTAGGGCATCTTGTGAGTCCGTACGGATAGGTATTACCATCCTGCCTATTTCTTCCGTGAAGCAGAGTTTCGGTT